CGTAATCCTTGTCACGACCACTACAACTTTCTTAATAGATATCGGCTTTATCTAAAATTTATTTTTGACACTCATTTTTATTCTTAATTAATTAACTCCTAGAAATTAAGCATAAAACACATAAAACACATAATATTCACATAATTCCTTTTCATTTCTTCAAAATGAGTTACAAAGGTTAACCTAGACTATCACATCAATATTAATGCCTAGGCTAGAAACACGAGCGTTACATCGGTTAAATGACATTTGTCACCCCAGGCATGCCTGCCTAACTGTAGCTAGCAGTTCAGGTGTGGGATTGTCAGTCCCGAATAGATCTATTCACAAATTTCATGCTCTCCCTCCAGGAGACTCTGGTTATACTATGATAGGATTTAACCTGTACCCCGAAAGGTACAATTGAAGTGTTGTCTCACAATCCTGTATTAACTAGTTTACGTGTGGTTTTGTATGGTTCTTTTGTAGTTAAATCCGTGTGTATACTTCAAAGGGAAATAATTATACTTAAATAATTATTAAATGTTGTACTCTTGAAATCCAAATGTAGTAATGTACATCATAAACTAAATCTGTCATAGTTTATATGTTTTTCCATGTAAAACTCTGAATTCATAAATCTGTGTATTGAAAATCCAAACTATACCTATTATAGTTTGCATGTATGTTCTGTACTTGGTTTATGTATCGATCTGAAAACTAGCAATTTTGACTGTAGTTTGAGAAAGTCCCTTATGCTCAGCATGTTACAAAAGGGATAAAATATCTAAATATTTTATAAACATGTGGAAACCGTATGATTCTATTAATTGCATCAGCTATAAAGGTATTGAAATTCTTTTGTGTAATTTACAAATCATTTGTGTTTGGCTTGTATTCCCCCTGAAAACATGAAAATAGTAAAAGCATAGGGGTATGAACTCACTGTTAGTCGTGAAAATGTTGGGCAACAAAACTAGAAATGAAGACCCTCGAGTTGATGTACGCGGAACTCAACGGGATCCTAATAACAATTAGTACATATAAGTATTTTATTAGCGAAACCATTAGTTATAATGTTGGAATAACGCTTGCTTTCGGTTTGGGAATGTTACCGGGACTCGATTGTATCGGAAAAGCGGGTTTGCGGCCAAGGTTCACGGTGTGAAGGAGCTTGCGGCCGTGAAGGGTTTCTGGTCGTGAACGGTTCTCGGCCGTGAACAGCCCCTTGAAGGGTTTACGACCGTAAACAATGTTCCTGAAGAATCTATGAAGGTTTGAAGTGTTTACGGCCGTAAACAGTTTGCGGCCTTTGAAGATTTGAAGATTCGAAGGGTGTACGGCCGTAAACTAAAGAACAATGATGTTGGATTCGATGAAAAATGCGTTTTAGCTACTCCGAAACAACCTCCAAAGGTGATTTCTGATGATTTTCGGAAGAAAAGGGGTGTTTTGATGTTTACGGTTGAGAGGTAGAGAGATAGAGAATGAGAGAGTTTTCGGCTAAGAAAGTTCAAATGAAGGAGGGGGTCCCGTATATATAGGCTGGGGGGTATGGTCGGTGGTGGGGTCCACCTGGCACTTAGCCATAAACGGGTTTACAGCCATAAATGGGTTTACGGCCGTGAACACCTCTCAGGCCGAAAACTATTGATTCTTCAAAGGAAACTCGAGTTTTCGCGTGATTTTGGTTCCGATTCTTATATAGAATTTAATTATATAACTAAATGATTTTCCAAACCCAAAGAAATTTGACGGAACTCAATAAAATTCAAATTTTATTAACGGTATTGGGTTAACATTAACGGAAAAAGATTCGGGTTGTCACAGCCTCCAGAAGGCTTCAGAATTGATCCAGGTAACAGATAAGGTAAAGATTTGAATCTGGATTAAATCTGATTATTTAGTTGATTCAAATCAGGTTAATCTACAAGTTACCACATCTATGTAAAGACCCTTCTAGGCCTTCATAAATTCGATTCTATTGTCCCCAAGGTTTAGATTTTTAGATTTTATCATCTCTCTCCTCTCTCCTAAAGTTTCTAGGTTTTAGTCTTTTGGGTGTAAGCCATTAGAGGCATTCATACTTTGAGTGTTAGATCTTCCAAGAGCAACAAAGGAATTCAAAGTGTTCAAGTGTTCAAGTGACAAATCTGATTTTGTCATAAGGTTAATAGTTCTATCCATCTTGTAGCTCTAAATTCACAGTTTTGAAAAGTGCGTTGTTATAATTGTAAAACTTAGATCTAGGGTGCATGTCCACTTAGGGTTATATTTAAAGGATCATGTTGCCTAAATTTCGTGTATAGATGCATAGAAAACACATCAATTATCACATCGTCTATATTGGTTATGAACGATACTTCTCTTGTGTCCCTGAGAGTTTCCTTCAACCTCATTAGGAACCAAGTACAAGAGTTGATGTTATTTGCCATGGCTAGACATAATTCTATAGGAAGGGCCTAGTTGTTTTCGTCCATAAAAACCGCTATGAATATTGTATTTAGGTAGACACTACCTATAAAGATGACAGGTAATATGAATGTATAGAGCTGCATTTTTTTTAGGAAAAATAGAAATAATTAGTTGTAAAAACATTATAAATTTTAATCAAACAATAAAACTTTGAAAAAAAATATTTTTAGGAAATATACAAATAATTAGTTGTAAAAACATTACAAATTTTAATTAAACAATTAATATTTGAATATACA